AAACACAATGAATTGATCTCGTGTGAGAGTTTTTCTTCATGACTTACAGCTATTCTCCACTAATTATGCACTTTTCTTGAGAACAATGAAATGAAACACTGTCTTTGGGTTTTACAATACTGAATTTACAGTAACAAAATATTGTTTTATTTCTTCATTTATCTTGTTACACTTCAAGGTTTACAAATATATTAAAATTCAAAAGTCACCAAAAACTTGGGGCCAATTTATTAATGTGAGTATCTGTTTTCTTCTAGTTTTGAGCGTATATTGAGGTTTGGTGGAGAATTAACGGAGAAAGTGGGGAGAAACTTTTTCTTACCCTGGCCAATTTTTACCCTAGAGTAATTTTTTCTTAACTCTTTCTTTGCATAACCTGGCAGCAACTCTTTAAATGGTGATATGCCACTTGGCTGTACCGAATGTACAATCAGACATCTAAACTAATACTGTTTTTGTTTTTTTTTTTTCAATCACAGAATTGACTCCCGAGGAGAGAGCCCAAAAGATTGCCAAAGCCATGCGCAAACAGTCTTCTGAAGTCAAAGAGAAGTGGGAGAGTCTAAATGCTGTTATGAGCAATTGGCAAAAGCAAGTGGACAAGGCGTTGGAGAAACTCAGAGACCTGCAGGGAGCGATGGACGATCTGGACGCTGACATGAAGGAGGCAGAGTCCGTGCGCAGCGCCTGGAAGCCGGTGGGAGACTTACTCATCGACTCGCTGCAGGAGCACATAGAAAAAAACATGGTCAGCATTGCCGCCGTTACCAAAGGATTTTTGAGAAATGTTTTCTTAAAAGAGATCCACATATATGAATTGTTATGAGGGATTGTTATAGAGCCAACACTACTGCAGCCTTTACCCAGTCAGGAGTCACACAGGTGCTTTCCATATGTCCCTCACCATCAGAACCGCCTCTCCCTGAATGACCACCTATGTGACTTTTATGATAGTTTACTTTTATTTTTCTTTGTATTTTTTCATCCAACTATGCATCCCTAAGCAATATAGATTGTTTGCCTATTTTTTTTTTAAAAGAATACTTTAAAAGTCCCTTTTAACCTCTAGATTTTCCCTCTATTTCTTTTTTCTTTCCCTTGCAATTTATTTGTTGAAGAAGCTGAATTGTTCTGTAGTGATTCCCACAGCCTGGATTTTGCAGAAATGTATCCACATGGTATAGTATACAGGTTCCCCTCTACTCTGTATCTCCTGTAAATCGGTAGTAGGATTTATAGGTTTGATCAAAAGCAAACTGTTTTACTGGTAATTCTGATCTATAAATTTTATCTCATTGTCTGAATATATTAATGGATAAATGATTTAGATATAAATTCCCTTTGTTGTCAGGAATTGCCCAAAGTTAAGGATGTAGACCTATGGTTAGACTCCTTTTGTTTCCCATATTCTAGAACATCTTTACAAAAAAAGGTTAATGACATTTAGGCAATAAGAGACACAAATATAACAGATTTAGAGTCTAGTAGGGTTTGTAGTAACATAGTAAACT